CTTTAGGATCACCCAACATGTTAACGATACAAGTATCAATAGCATCTTGGTTTTCGATCCTTGAAGCCCTAGCACCAAGCAACATAACGGTGTCCTTGGTCGCATCTTTAGGGAAAACCTACAACCACCATTAAGCATTGATTACACCTTAGACTTAATTCTTTCTAAGACAACAAGACTATAACAATCGAGATCCCTTATTACCAACCTCAATTAAGTTTTTGTCAACAGTGAGCTTGTTGAGGGTGAGGGTACCGGTTTTGTCACTGCAAAGAACATCCATACCAGCCATTTCCTCAATAGCAGTCATCCTCTTAGTAATGGCACCTTGTTGTGCAAGCCTATGAGATCCGATAGCCATGGTCACAGACAAGACTGTTGGCATGGCAATTGGGATACCTCCGATGAGCAACACAAGCAAGTTGTCGATTCCATCTCTGTATTTTCGCTGCTGAATTGGGTACATCACTATTATCTCAATCACCATTCCCACAGCAATAGAGCAAATACAGAAGTTTCCGATGGCTGTCAACACCTGGGATCATCATCACAATTTAGAAAAATCCTCACTCACACTAAGTGATTCTTTTAATTTGTATCACAAAACACATTTCTTTTACCTTCTGGAAATGGCCAACATTGTTTGTGCTGTCTACAAGATGAGCAGCCTTTCCAAAGAAAGTGTGAACACCAGTTGCAATGACAACTGCCTCGATTTCTCCTTGCTTGACAGTGGAACCAGAGAAAACCTCAGCACCAGGGAACTTTGTCGCGGGCAATGACTCACCAGTGAGAGCAGCCTGATCAACCTTTAAAGGATCACCCTCGAGAAGCCGAGCATCGGCTGGGACGATATCTCCCAACTTAATGCTAATTATATCACCTGGAACCAAGATTGAGGCCTCCTCTTCTGACCATTTTCCATCTCTCAAAATCTGGGATTGATAACATTACATATAACATCGATAAATAAATCGAGGACTAAAATGGACGATGAAATTTAAATCTTGTATTCGCCACTGGAAAATGGATTATTGGGTACCTTAGTTTTGGGAGCAAGATTAGCCATAAGGGCAGATGCAGCATTTCCTGCACTGTTTTCCTCAATAAAACTGATGGTAGAGTTGATGATGAGCAATACTGTGATACCAACGAAATCTGGCCAATCTGGTGGTTTGCCCTGTAATTTTATTTTCAAGATTTCACCATTACTAAATCAAACACTATCTGGACATGTAAAAAATTAGAATACAAATCAAGGATTGTGGTAGAGTGGTATGTACTCCTTCATCGTTTTCGAGCCTTAGGTTTGAAAGGGAACGTTTTATTCCCATTCTGACCTCGACAAGGGAAGTCACTTTTATTAGGGAACGTTTTTTCCCTCAACTCAAGATATTTCAACACGTAGTCGATTTATGGAAAGTCACATTTCTTAGGGAGTGTTTTACCCCCTCCATGTGCAACTTTTGACAGCCTCAATATGGGAACTGACCTTTCTGAGGGAGCATTTCCCCCGATATGGGACTTTCCAACACGAATTCGAGTTAGACTCAAATACAAGTATCAGACATCAAGTGGAAAATCAATAAATAAATAAATATGAAAAATAAGTGATTGTAATTACTCCTCCATTGGCCAACACAATAGCCATGATAGCAGCACACTCCATAACCCATGAGAGAGGATTCCACATGAACCCCAAGAATTTGAGAAGCTTGTTCTCCTACAATAGATTAAAATCATAGGTAACAATTAATACACATATTCAAGATTTTATTAAAAAAAAAAAAATATGAAGATTTTTTGAAATAATAATACTTTTTTCTCTTCAAGTTTGTTGGGGCCAAAAATTTCAAGCCTTTTTTGGCCCTCAGCAGATGACAATCCCTCTTTGCTACATTTTAGCTGCTGGAACACTTCCTCCACTGGAATGTTTTCCTGTAACAATCATTCAATCACATTAATTTTTTTTATCGTCGATATAGATTATTTAAATTACTAAAGTTAATATATATAGATTTTGAACTCGCTAATGCCAGAAATGTAAAGGCCTTTATGACTAGGAGTATTTTTAGTTTTATTAGAATAAAAAGATGTAAGAATATAGGTGAAAAAAAGAAATGTCACTTACAAGGTCAATTTGCTCATTCTTGATATCTTCCAAAGATAAATTAGATGCCATGATGTCAATAATTTATCAAGAGGAACCAAGAAAAGCAAAAAAAAAAAAATTATTCAAAACATGGAAAAAGATGAGAAAGAGTGTTTTGTTGTATTTTATTTATTTATTTTTTACTTTATTTTTTGGAAACATAAAATACAACAAAACGCCTGCTTTCATCTACCTCTTTGGATCTCCTTTTATAGATAAATTGGTCTATGGCCACCTTTGAAAATGTCTAGAGAAAAGGAGAAACCTTAAAAATATTCCCCCCCTTAAAAGATGGATCATCTTACAATAATTATTTTTTATTTTTTGAAAAAATTATTACTATTTTATTGGTTATTTTGTTTTGTGCTTCCTTCTCCTTGTAAATTTCCTTGTTTTTTTTAAAAAAAAGTTTGACCTAATTTTTTCCACTACAAAATAACTTCTACTAGACTATCTTGTAAGGAAATTGTTATAATTTAGATTTTGATTTGTTATACATACTACATAAACATTACTTAGTGGGTCTTACTAGAATGTATGCGTCCACTATCAATCGCTGAATAGATTTTTTGACTTGGCAAAAATAGTAGCTGAAGTAAATGTGTGGAAAATAAATTGCTCATATTAAATTAGGCACAATAAATTTTACATGGAAATCTCCTTGCTCAAGGAAGTAAAATCACAACATGTCACACAAAACTTTCAACTGTTTTCACTATCTTCTCAAGCAAAAGTGAAACACAGATTACAACCACCAATGAGATAAAACTCTTAGTCTTAACACTAAGTAATACGTCTATTACTTACATAGCCTAAGTAATTATCCTATTTCCAACAAAATCAACCAACTCTAGTTGATCTAGACTTTAAGAACCCCACAAGGCTAATTCTAGCCACCAACTCCGATCTCCAAGACAAGAGCTAAACAAGCAGCAACTCTGTTGCATCCAAGCATCAACTAATTCTAGTTGACACTCCTAGACAACTCTACCCAAGAGAACATCAAAATATTGATGTAAAAAAGCTTGACTAAGACAAAGATGATTCGACTAACGACTCAACCTAAAGACTTAGACAGACAACTAATCTACTATCCTTTATAACTTAACAGTAAATTTACAATGTAAGCACATAAGTCACAAAGCTTGAAATACAACAAAGACTCTTCAACACTCTATCATGTCCATTTGTTGCGTTGAGCAGTGTTCTTCCTTGAAGATGACGTTTTCTTTGTAAGCATAAGAATTTCGTTTGTCAAATCTTAAGTTTGTGTTTTGTGAGAAGAGTCTATACCAAATGAACACGAACTCTTTGAGACGACCCATTGTCTAATTGTCGTCCTTTTAACATGCACAGTCTTGCAGGGACTAGATCTCTTTCAATGTGTTCTTTGTGAGTTCTTGAGAAAACATTTGTTTGGTTAGTTTATCTTTTCCTTTACTTCTTTTTTTTTAAAAAAAAATTGTACGAGCAAATAAGTTGCAAGCTTCTTTGTTTTATATATATATATATATATATATATATATATATATATATATATATATTATTATTATTATTATTATTATTATTATCATTATTATTATTATTATTATTGTTATTATTAAAAGTGGAAAGCTTTAAATTTTAAAATTAGATTACCATTTTACCTATATACTAAATTTAAATATTATAAAACATCTAAATTAATTAAATATTAAATCATAATCATATTTCACACGTCAAATTAACTATTTTATTGTAACAATATGGAAATATAATTTTCATTAATCGCTTTTAAGTTTTAAAAATAGTTTTGTATTTAATTGCTTTAGATGCTCAACTCAAATGACTCCAGTGTGGGATCAATAGTCACCTTTTGCTCTGATTTTATTTCTGAAAAATTCTTCATATAATTAATCACATATTTTTTTATTTATTATAATTTTGAGATTATACATTTTACATCTATATTGTTATGATTAAAATCTTAAGAAAAATATGTATAATGTATCTTTTCTTCTCTATTTCTTTTTGTGTGTTTCCTTTTTATTAGACTTGTTAAATTTTATAATTTATGAATTTCTGCTTGTATTTTTATTTCAGCTCATCTATAATAATTTATATGGGACACACGTGTAGGCCGAAACGAGTAGAAAAATAGATATAAGAAGGAGCAATATATCTCATTGAAATTTAAAAATTGTGGAGACAAAACAAATTTGGCCTAGAAAAATAAAATTTAATACGTACGATATATAATAACTATAAGGATATGATAATAACTAGTAATTACAATTTCTTTTTATGCACAGCTAGCCTTTGTTCTTCGGCCAAATGCTATAATCTTCATCC